TAAGAGTTTAGTACAACTATCCACCACTGTGACGTAGTGTTGCGCTGCCCGTGCTGCAGCATGGCCTGTTTTTTCTAGTGGGGCCTTGATGAAAAACACAAGTGTTATAGGCTTTTAGTTAAAACCTTGCAGTTTACATGTTAATCTTATGGAAGAATGTTTTATTTTGTTTACCATGCCATGTTTGTCATTTCTTGATTAAATTAAATTATGGAAACAGCTGTTGTAATGATAACCTAATTTTTTAAAACAAATCTATGCATAACAAATGAGAGCTATCAAATAGGTTTCTATTCCATTTGTTTTTTACGAATATTTGTTGTCAAGTGAGCAAGGCAAGTGAGCGCAGCGAACGAGCTCCAACCTAAAGGTGAGTGAGCGTAGCGAACGAACTTCAACCAGGATGTGATTGAGCCATGCGAACGAGCTCATCTTGAAAATGAACGAGCATTTGACATAAAACCACATTAAGACAGGACGCTGGACGACGTCTGTCGGGCCAGCTAGTTAATATATAGATAGATGGCACATCAAAATGAAGCTCAGAGTGTGTAGATTTGCCGAAAAGTATTGGTATGAACAAACTCCCTTAGGGTTCTGCCCCACAGGCCGATTTCCAAATGGCTACGCCTTACATGTTAAGAAGTTAACGTTATTTGACTAATTGATCAAAAACAGCTGTTCAATGAAATTGACAGTAGTTTGTTTATTTAGACTTTTGTTTACGTATATTATTATTTACTTTTTAACATTCAAAGAGGTGCGGTAACTGAACACTGATGCTATTTCTAGCTGTTTGATACAAGTGAGTGTTCTAAGATGTTTTTTTGTAAGACGATGCATTATGAGATTTAAAAAAACATGTCTGTTGGTCGTCCAAGAGGTTGTCACTGATCTTTAACAGGACGTTGTGAAAGAGAGCAGCGAGTTCATGTACAACCACAACCACGTCGGCCACCTCAGGACGTAAGGTATCACCTCAGGACGTAAGGTATGAAGGTCCCACTTGATTTTGTAAGAAATGAACGGCTAGACACGGTGTAAGCCCTTCGGGAGTAGGCCAACTCGACCTAGTTTTGATGAAGTGCGACAAGTGTTCCCAGGCTAGTGTCCGAAGAGTAGAGGAGGTTTTTAGTGGGTAGTCTCTGGGCCTTAAACTTGTTGGAGTCCCACACTACAGGCTAGCCACCTGTGTGCATAAATGCACTTTCCCACCTCTCCCTAAAAAAAAACCAACAACGACTGAGGAGGCACTCAACGGTGTATTTGTGTGAAAAGTAGGGTAACCTTAAAAACACTGCACGTTGATATTGGTGTGACGAAACAACATAAATAGAGAACTTAAGTGTTATTTTTAGTTTTGTGTTTTTTTATTTTGATGTGTATTTATATTTTGATATTTTCTGATGGAACACGAAGGACACGTCTTCATTCAGAATTGGCGGTGGTGTATGTAAAATCGTAATTATTATTTACTAGCTGTTACCCACGGGCTTCACCCCGTTTGACTTCATAAGTAAAATTATTTACCTAACCCGCCATGTTAAACTTCCCTATCCCAAGCGTGATGTATACAACTTCTTTACTTCTCGAGTGATGTAAAGTTGAAAAAAAACTCACTCGGTGAGGTAATGAAACCCATTTAAATAACATTGAGTGCTTAAAATATACTTCTATGGAGCCAACGACGTTCAACGCTAGAAATCAGCTGTTCGCTTGAATTTTATTGTTATGTTTTGAAGAATTTTCCTAACCTAGCTTTTGTTTGTAAATGAACATTACTGTTAGAAGATGAGTGAAATGGATAATGAAAAATATTGTTCGTAACCTCCTGTATATTGTCGGGTCAGGTAAAATCTTGTACGTTACACGTTACGCAAGAGCGTGTACATCACTTAGGTAAATTGTGCAACTCGCTTCCGCTCGTAAAAATCATCAAAAACATCACCTGCATGATGTAAAAACGCCCTTACTACACTTGTAAGGTAAATAGCTATAATAAAATTATTGATTGGTTAAGTTAAGCTGAAATAAACCAAACAGAATACAGTAATACAAACAAATAAGAACAGCTGAGATATTTTTAACATTAGGTATATGGAAAGTTCCCTTTAGAAAGGAATTATGACCTTAAAGGGCAATTTATTAAATAATGGATAGTTTTTCGCAAGGTTTCTCGTCATGACGAACATTTTAAGTATATGGTTTATGGGGGTGTGACTTGTGGTTTTCTCCAAAGTTCATGGGTACTTTTGGCTTTATATATATGGATTTTCTGTACCTATATTGTTTAACACAATTTTAAACGAATAAAACAATTTTTTAAACACAAGGTATGGGACAAAGCGATTTTGTAATAAATAATAGGACAATTTCGTAATAAATACATTTTTGATCAGCATTTACAAGTGATTAAATCTCCGGAATGTAACTAAAATTACGTCTAATAACGAATAACATTCTTCTATTGGGTCTGATGATGATTGGAATGTTCAGTTAAAATCAATCATCACTTACCTTGTGCCAGCCTTAGGCCGGCCGCACACTGATCAAACAAAATGTCTTTCGACAAAACGTTTTGTCGAAAGACGTCGGAAGCGAGTGGCCTACCATGCAGTTAAATGGAGGCATCACACACTGATGAGACAGAGGCTTCAGACGCATTGTTTTGTCTGAAGACGTTTTTGGGTGTTTTTGTGATCGCCTCCAATATTTCGTCTGAAGCCAAAACGCGGTCAGACAAACAGTTCTGCGCATGCGCGGACCGCGGATACAGTACAACCAAAGAGTACAACTTCTCTATATATTGTAATAATTTTTCTTGCAGTAAGTAGTAGTTCATTTTTTATCCATGCAGAAAATAATAGGCCTACAAATGTTATTTCAATTTCAAATATTTCAGCTTATTCCATAGGTTATATTGTGTAATATTACATGTCATTCATTCATCATTAACATTAATTTCTCTACTATTTTGTGTATTTTCTCCCATAATGTCTGTTAATGCCCCTGATAATGTATTATTAGTTATTTAATATGTTTCCCCTTGTTAATGTGTTATTTTATCCAATTTTGTTAAATGTTATATGATATCCCATCACCCCACAGAAACATCATCTTATTTTATGTTACAATATAATATTTATGCCAATTCTCTCCATACCTATCCTGTACTCATTAAAAACCAACAATAATCATTTACTTAGAATAATATATAATTGTAAGAAAATTGCAAAATAGTAATAACATCTTAAATATAGTATCACTTTTCAAAATTATCCAAAGAAAATCAAAATTACTGTGGCAAGTGTCATTTATGTGAATTAACCAGCTGTACATCATTTCAACAATGGACATGGACTTCCTGAGCTTCTACCATTGCCTCTCCCCAGATCCTGCCAACTCTTCACAGTGTGAACATCATTTTATTGGACATTGTGTTTGATTTAAACTAAATTCATAATCCCAAAGTATAATCTAAATTTTAAATTTCTTATCATCTAAAAGTATTCAGTACAAGTGCCTTGAAGAGTATCAAATTTTAACGAACCCCTATTTTATTTACTACATAATGATACAAAGGTGAAGACAGACACTCCAAGTTTGGTAACCATCATCCATCTTGTTTAACTAAGGACAAATTTAATCTTCATTGGACATTTAATTAGCATAGCCTAATAGGCCCAATTAACTTAACTCATCAAGATATACAAATTTCAAACTGAACTTTTATTCAAAATTTAATCTTCAAATTCTATTTTATTTCATTAAATTCAGTGAAACCATTTGGAATCTTTCTTTGGACATTAACATTATTATATTAATAGCATCACGAACCTAGTATTTCAGAATAATAACTAAATTAAATTATTTGCATTTTAAAGAAGCCTAATATATCATTTGAACCGGCACGACCACCCCTCCCAGAGATTAAGAGCTCATATTTAAATATTGATTAGTACTTCAGAAGAAACCAACCCAATATAAGCCTAGAATCTTATCATCCACTTTGGAACCCCCACCATTTTGAAAATTTACCATTGTTAACTTAGACCCTGTAGCTAATTCAACCAATAACTTATCTTGTATTTGTATTTCATTAATAAATTTTATATTGTAACTTACCAAATCTATTTATTCTTAAAATAATTCATATATTATAAGATTAAGATAAAGACTTACCTTATTAGACAGAAATAAAACACAAATTAGGAATTATCTTTATTAAGAAAGAAATGACTTTGAGTTCAATGTGGGCTAACTTAATAGCCAAAGGAATTTTGTAGGCCTAAGTTAATGAAAGTCTATAGAAAGCTTTATGGTGCGTAGCAATTGTAATAATTCTCTTTACAGTTAGTAGTCGTTCATTTTAGATTTATGCAGAAAATACAGAAATTGTATGCTCCCTTCCTTCATTTAGTTCTGTAAGTTGTATAAAGTTCCACAATATAATTGCTACGTCCAATTCCTCACCCATTTTATTAACATCACACAATCTCTGGCTTTTCACAACACTGGTCCACAGCTGGCTGAATCTAGTTTTCCCTCCTGTTTTTGTCTTTAGTCTGAGACCACCGCACACCAATGCTACATTTTTGTTTCCTGACAAGACGTCTTCCGACAAAATGTTTTGTCAAAAGACGTTTTGTTTGATCAGTGTTCGGCCGGCCTAAGTCTATCAAACACTTTCCAAACAGTTGTTGTCAGGGACAGCAAAACACATCAGGCTCCTTCCTTCTAATAGTAATTGTTAACTTTCACCTACAAGCCATGTCTTTTAAAAATAGAAAATGTATGTATGTTATAATGTGAAGAAATCCATTTGGTATCTGTATAGCTATAGTTACAGACATTAAGATCTGCCTTTGTTTTAAGGGTTATTCTAACATTCCAAATCTATTGGCAGAACATTAATCTAGATTTATAAGACACATGACATGAAATGGATTAAGAAGCACTAAAATTTTACATTGGGCATGAAAGTTATCTATTTATCTTACCCTGAATAGAAGCAGTATGCTGACGTTTGGGAGCAGTACGCTTGTATGTTCTTACAGGAGCCTGCAAAACAAACCACGTTGGTAAAACTAACCTTGTCAACGCACATGCATCATTGTGCAAAGAAATTTGTAAAATAACAGAATCAAGATCATCCCACCAGATATGCCTATTAGGTCTGAATATGATTGGAATGCCCGATCAAAATCAATCAAATCTTGTATGTGATTTGAATGTCTTGTATGTTAATTAAAGTAAAGTATACTGTAGATCAGTATTTAAATAACAATGAATCAATTGTAATAGTATATTTCGTATCTAGGGACAAAAATTAGGTTTTGCTGGCTCGAGATAGTTCGAGACCAAGTCAAGAACTTAAAACAATCGAGAGCTGCAAAACCATTTCAGTCCGTGGTACGAACGCTATTTTTCACCGCACTATACCCTATTACCAATATTCACCACAATAATAATGCACACTAACAGTCAACACAACTACAGTAGACCCCCTCTTAACCGACCTCGTATTAACCGATAATCGGATTATCCGCCTTTGATCGTAAAATAATACAGTTTGTTTTAACCGACCTTGCTTTGAGAGCAGCTCGGTTTAACCGCCGCTTTCTAGGAATCTCGGCATTTCCGCTCCCACGCTGGGCGATGAGAACTGAACTATACGCTTATCTCCACAGGATATGACTAACAATAAGTTATTTTCATTTTGTGTTGATCACAAAAAATATAGCATAGCCTATTGTCAGTTTGTCATCATCGTTCGTAGCTCGAGCACATCTGATCAGATATGTTATCTGTGCGGCAAATTTATAACATCATAAAGTGCGTTACGATTTTGAGAACTGATTATCTCATCGCTGGAGTAAACAAACAATGCAACTTGTAGGGAGGGCAGGGAAGGGGTGTTAACAACTCCAAGGTCAAGATAGTTTTTGTGCCTCGAACCTCCAGTGAGTGGCCATAAATAAACGTCCTGTCTTGTAACAAAATTGTCGCTTGTATCTTTAATGACGACAAAAGGTTCTGTACTGTATTACGATGTATTTGGAAAGCATTAATTAATACACTACAGTAGTAAAGTTATTAAAATAGGAATTTTATTGACTCTTGCCTAGTATTATAATATATTCACTGAAAGTAGGCCTATTTGACTTAACCGTGTTTTGTGTTTATTTGTGACATTTCTATCAATATGAAAAAGGAGATAAGAGTAGTTTATTTTATAAATAATGCAAGTATGACTTCAAAATAATGATTATATAATTCTAAATGAATAGCACTTCATTATGTTATGATTTTAGGGATTGCCCGTTTTATCCGACCTTTTGCATTATCCGACCTAGGTCCGGTCCCATTAGGGTCGGTTAAGAGGGGGTCTACTGTACAACTTTAAGGTTATGTGAAGAAATAATTTGAGGAATCAGCAAAAATAATGATAAATAGTTGCTAGGCAGCGGTGACAAAACACTAGCGTCTCGGGGTCCTGGTCAGAAACCGATGAGAACCTTTTTTCAGTATGATAATTTTTTGTTGGGCATCACTCACCTTATTGAAATCACGAGAACGCAGTCCTTGTCATATCACAATCAACACAGTTCATTGCACATAAAAATATACAAAAATTTAAATAAAACTAAATTTAAAATTTCAGACTTAAGTTCCCAACACCGACGTTTCGCCGCACCAAAATCAACGTGCGGCGTTTTCAAGGTTATTTCTCTTCTCACGCAATCGTTGTGAGCGCCTAACCACGACTGACGTCCCCGGTGGTGGAGGAGGGGGAGGGGAGATTCTGTTATCTAGAACAGCTGATGGCATTATCTTCTTTTGTTTAGATTTTTCTATGCATCCTTTTTTTTCTATGCCAGCCGTTTGGGCGTAAAAAGTATCCTCAGTAGTATTACTTTCAGTTTGAGGATACTTTTTACGCCCAAACGGCTGGCATGGCAATGGGAGGTGTACTAAGTCCCATTTTAAGTAACATCTTCATGGATGACTTTGAACAAAAAGCTATTACAACAGCTGAGGTTAAGCCTAAGTTATGGTTGCGTTACGTGGATGATGTTTTTTGCTTGTGGGAAAGTGGCATTTCAGAGCTTAATAGGTTCAAGGAGCATATAAACAGCATTTGTGATACTATTAAATTCACTATTGAATTTGAAAATTATTGTAAGCTTCCGTTCTTAGATGTAATGGTTGATAGGTCCTCGGACACTTAGCATACCAGTATGTACAAAAAGCCTACGGCAACAGGACAATACTTACATTTTGATTCATACCATCCGGACCACGTAAAATTAGGTTTAATAATTGGGCTTATTAAAAAGGCTAAACTAATCTGTAGTGATGAACAGACTTTTCAGCATGAGGTAGTAACTATTAAAAACCGCTTACTTAACAGTGGGTACCCTAAAAGATTCATAAATAAAGCCTTAAGAAAAATATCCAGCTCTGATACAAGTTTACCACCTAAAGATAACAAACCTCTGGCCACAGGATGCATTCCGTATATTAAAAACCTTTCGGAGAAAATACGGCGCGTGAATGCTAAGCAAGGTATTAGGACGGTCTTTACCTCAAAAAACACGATAAGAAGACATGTATCTAAAGTGAAACCTCCTATAAAGTGGGAGGAAAGCTGTGTATTATACAAGGAGCCTAATTGGAAGAAAAGGAATATTATTGAGGCTTTGTTTATTACTTCAGATCAAGATTCATTAGCCAACGCATCCATTGATATCAGCCCGGTTTACAATACACTAATAGAGAAAGAAATTAAAGGATGCATAGAAAAATCTAAACAAAAGAAGATAATGCCATCAGCTATTCTAGATAACAGAGTCTCCCCTCCCCCTCCTCCACCACCGGGGTCGTCAGTCGTGGTTAGGCGCTCACAACGATTGCGTGAGAAGAGAAATAACCTTGAAAACGCCGCACGTTGATTTTGGTGCGGCGAAACGTCGGTGTTGGGAACTTAAGTCTGAAATTTTTAATTTAGTTTTATTTTTATCTTCTAAATATATAAAAGGCAAAACCCTCACTGACTCACTCACTCACTCATCACTAATTCTCCCACTTCCCATTTACCTAGGAGGTTGAAATTCGGCACACCAATTCTTTGGGCATTAAATAGGAAAACTAAGTAGTTTTTATTGTGATCAGGCTTTCGGGCTCCGCCCCAGTGGCTCTGGAGTTTCCTATGTTAACCTTATGATTTATCATATTTAAAAGGAATTAATGAATCTTAACAGCTGTTTCAATTAAACAAGTTGGTTCTGTTCTATGGCATTAAATTTACAAGGATTACCAACAGGGTGCAGCACTATTACTTTTTTTATATTTAAGACAACAACTAATTTGCATCCAAAAGGTGAGTGAGCGTAGCGAACAAACTTCAACCTGGAGGTGAGTTAGCGTAGCGAACGAGCTAAACCTGAAGGCAAATGAGCGCAGCGAACAAGCTCCAACCTAAAGGTGAGTGAGCGTAGCGAACGAACTTCAACCAGGACGTGATTGAGCCATGCGAATACTTAAGAAGTTAAACGGGGCAAAGCCCGCGGGTACAGCTAGTTTTTGTATATTTTTATGTGCAATGAACTGTGTTGATTGTGATATGACAAGGACTGCGTTCTCGTGATTTCAATAAGGTGAGTGATGCCCAACAAAAAATTATCATACTGAAGTATTGACCTCACCTAATATACCATGTCGTTTAGGAATAGAACCTCTTTTGCGAAGGAGTGACGTCACTCTCGTCTCTTGAGGGAACACCATTATCGCAACGATACGGAGTGCAGCCATCGGAATTCGTGGTGTAGAGGATAGGGTACTCGCCTGATGTCCATGAGGTAGCCAGATCGAATCTCACCAGTGACACTAACATTTTGTCAAAGATTTTGCTTAGAATGCCATTACTTTTTAACTGTACATCTTTTGTTAGAATTTGAAGCATTTATAATTTTATTTTAAGAACATACCGTACAGTTTTTTTTTTGTTTTTTTTGTCCTAGGACGCTAGGCACGAGCCCGGGATCGTTTTTCACATTACTTCAGGCTAGACCTAGGGGTTGCGGCATTATCACTTAGATAAAATCCATTGGTGATTTGGCTGGTTTTGAACCCGGGACCTCAGGCACCGAAGACCCGCGCTCTAACCACTAGACCAGCTCGCTCCCCTGGTAGAACCCCAGTTAACTGAAATAAAGGGGGGAAAGCCATTTCGGATAACCAATTTTTCGGTTAACCCGTCATATGCTAAAGATAGCCTATGTATTACCGCGGTTAGTTGGAAAATGGATTTAAAACAATTTCTAAACAATATTTTATTTTAGCTACAGAAATGCTACAATGGGTTAGAAACAGTGGCCTAACAGCCGACCCATACCCACGGTGCGGGGGCAAGGCTTAGGGGCCCGGGAGGTTGAGATACTCTTTTCTCCTAAAACTGTCCGTAAAACCGATCCTCTGTTCACGGATATTTTTCTCTCCTGACAATTTTTTTTAGAACACAATGTGTATGTAGATACTTTTATTCTGCCAAATCTACTGAAGTTTTATCTTTTAATTAACAAAATTGTTAACAAAACGCCAACGCCCGCCACAATTACCCGACAATGTGTAGGTCTATTGTCTGTGTGATTGTGTTGCTTCTTGCTTCAGGCTAGGAGCTGTGCGCCTGCCGCCTGGGGGAGCCAGCCCCTCCTCCCTCCTGCACTACCCGCTCACCCTCACGTGTAACTCAGCTGACCGTAGATCACCTGATTTTGATAAGAGATCCATGCGGTTGACTCATCAGCAGTGCATTTTTACATTTTAAATGGAACATTTTTAATAGTCGAGGTTATAAATGATTGTCTTAATCATGAGTAATTTTGGTATTCAAACATCAATCAAGTTATTTGTAATTGTAAATTATTATTGTAAGTTAAGCTAATTAAGTCCAGGAAGTTATTAGCAAATAATTATTTTACATTTTAGTTTTGCCCTATAATAATAATTGTGTTTGGTTAAATACAATATTTTGCTACTCTACTGACTTTGTGTGTTAG